CCACAACGCCCGGCTATTTTTTGGTTGCAGCCATCATTGTTGTTTGGTGGGTCTGGGCTGGGGATTCGAACCTGCCACCTTAGGTGTACATGGCTGGCACCTTAGCCGGTTGAGCTATAGGCGCCGAGCCCGGTTTTTCTATTTTTAATAGAGATGAGTTCTCACTCTTGCTCAGGCTGGTCTGAAACTCCTGAGCACTGGGCCTCCCAGAGTGCTAGGATTATTTATAGGCATGAGCCAGGACCTAGAATTTTAGACCAGAAGTCATCAAGTCACTTATGTCAGATCCTCTTGCCTTAGGAGACTGGGGCAAAATTGAATCTCAGGGATGTGTGAGGGAGCAATATGAGAGAGAATGAATGTGTTATTGAGGGATAGAGATGGAAACAGTTCTTAGATAGCTTCATTTGTATGGAGTGGAGGGAATATAGACCCAGGAGGAAAGGGGCTAGTGTGCTTACTTCAGGAGCACTTATACTCTAATTGGAATGCCGCAGAGAAAATTAGCATGATTGCTGTGCAAGGATGACATGCAAAATTCATGAAGCGTTCCATATTTATTTTATTTTATTTTATTTTTTAAGAGACAGAGTCTTATTCTATCACCCTTGGCAGAGTGCTGTGGTGTCACACAGCTTACAGCAACCTCTAAGTCCTGGGCTTAGGCAATTCTCTTGCCTCAGCCTCCCGAGTAGCTGGGAGTATAGGTGCCTGCCACAACACCGGCTATTTTTTTGTTGTTGTTGCAGTTTGGCTGGGGCTGGGTTTGAACCTGCCACCTTCGATATAAGGGGCTGCCGCCCTACCCACTGAGCCATAGGCACTGCCTGAAGCGTTCCATATTTTATTTTATTTATTTATTTTGAGACATATGTTGCCCTTAGTAGAGTGCTGTAGCGTCACAGCTCACAGCAACCTTAAGCTCTTGGGCTTAAGCGATTCTCTTGTGTCAGCCTCCCCAGTAGCTGGGACTACGGGCACTGGCCACAATGCCCAGCTATTTTTAGAGGCAGGATCTTGCTCTGGCTCAGGGTGGTCTGGAACCTGTGATCTCAGGCAATCCACCTGCCTTGTTCTTTTTTATACAGGGGCTCATTCTGTCACCCAAGAGAGTGTAGTGGCATCATCATAGCTGACTACAACTTCCACCTCCTGGGCTCAAATGAACCTCATGCCTTAGCCTTCTGATCAGCTAGGACTACAAGTGTGTACTATAGTGTCTGACTACCTTTTACATTTTTAGTGGAGACAGTTTCTCAATGTTGCTCAGACTGGTCTCAAACTCCTAGACTGGTGCTAGAATCACAGGCATGAGTTATCATGCCTGGCCTAGTCTTTTTCCTTGGTCTGGAT